AAATCCATATAATCCTCACGCTATGCCCTCATACGGCTTGGGCGCGCCACGACCAGCGAGGACCATGTCGTCCACAATTTCGTCGTGCTCCGTACGCTTGTAAGTCCGTATTGTCTCACCATAGTCCGAGACGTCGTATATGCGGAACCGCCGGTCGAAGCCGATCTTGCCGTAGCCTGAGTACGAGCTGTGATACGAGATGGCGTGAGCGTCCGGTCATGGGGAAACGAGAAGCTGCTCACCCTCCACCTCCGAAGCAGAGCCACACGCCCCTGACGCGCCTGCAGTTCTCCGTGACTAGAGATAGACGATCAGCTCAGCCGAACCACTCAGCAGTCGGTGAGACGTACTGTGGCAATGTCCGTTCGCGACAACCTTCACCTCAGTCGCATATCCACCTGCGCGGTGATCGCTCTCAAGCGCCTGCAGAAGACCTTTATGGAAGAATCCATCCTGTCGCTTTGCAGCGCCCGGCTCTTCCTGGTCGTGCAGACCGACGTCGAGTGGGCGACCCGTAACAGGATCGACGTCCGCTGCCGCGTAGCTCTCCGCCCTGCATGCATTGCAATGAGAACGACAGGATTATCGTAGGGACGGCGGGGAGAACATACAAGGGTATGTGGAAGAACATCAGCGCGTTGGGCTTCGCGAGACGCCGTGTGCCTGGCACGACCTGATCAGCGGCTTGTCGTTCCCAGATGCCACCAATGTCCTTGGCGCCATCCGGAGTGAACGGACGCTCGATGGCATCGATCGAGGCTGCGAATTATCAATACTCAGTGATAAAAACGAGCGGCAGTACAGGGAAGGCCCACGTACCGGACTCCTGCAGGAACCAGTCAATCTGGTTCTGCCGAATATAATCGTACTCCGTCGGATAGAAGATGCCGAACCACTGCAGACCACCGGTGTAGTAGGCTCCGGAATCCAGGAAGTACAGGGTAAGCAGATGGGTCTTTGATCTGCTTCCAGAGTCAGTCTCAAGTATGACATGGGTCGGCTTTCAGGACGCTCACGGATCTGCGCTCTTCACTTTCAAGACGTAGTTTCCGACGCCGTGTATGTCCTTCGGACCAGCCTCGACCAGACTGTACGGGAGCCCTTTCATATACTTGATTTGCTCCTCCCTGCTCCAGCCATCCTCATCGTCGTGATTGCCGAAGACTGCGGCCCATGGGATTCCTCGCTGAGTGACAGCCTTCGCGAACTTGGCCAGGACCGACTTCGAGTCCCAGGACGTGCCTTGGCCGTTGAGCTGATCGCCGGTGAAGACGACAAGGTCTGGCTTCTCTGCATCCAGCATACGGCCGAGCAAAGTCGAAGTGAGGTTGTCGGACGCGGTGCAAGGGTCTATGTCCGTATCTCGGCAGGACCCGACGCTGACAGAGTAGTGTAGGTCCGCAACCTGCATGATCTTGAATTTCCCGTCGCGGGAGAAGTGCAACGGTGGCGCGCGAGGGGGAGCTAGTAAACAGATCAGTCAAGAAGTCTCAGCGTTTGAACAGGGTAACCCTACGTTTGACGCCCCTTCGGTATGTCAACCAAACCGGCTCTTTGAGGCCTGCACCGTCGAAGGTCGCGCGGTTGACTCTCTCGAACCCGTACCAAGGGTCGTCTGAGCCAAAGAGCACGTCGACCTCAGTGACGATATCATTCCGACGCTCGGCGTCCGTCATGTCTCGCCACGTCCTGTCGGTCTTGTACCACAGGTAACGCTTCTCCCCAGCTGGGTTGATTGGATGCGAGACCTTGTGCCATGCGCTGCTGAACGGCGAGGGCGTCTCCTTGTCGGGCAGAATTTGGAGCTCGGTGACAAGAGGGATGTCATGTCTCCGCGTGCGCCGATAGAACACGTTCTGTGCTCTGTCAACATCAGAAGGAACAAGAAGTTGACTAGGCTCACCAAGCTCTTCACGCTCAATTGTTCTTTCAAGTTGCGTTCAACGCGCACCCATTTGCCCTTGAGCGCGTCATCCTGCTTCGTCGTAGAGGGATAGCAGAGGTCCGATGCGATGGACGGCACGAACCAAGGGTCAATGACACATTCCGTGATGTGAATCTCGGAGACTTCAATGCTGTCGGTCTGGCGCCATGCAATGAGTTAATAGTGCACTTACGTCCGGTGTCATGTTGCATGAGGGGGTCCCAGACATCGAGAGGTAGACTAGCCGTGTCTATCGTGTCCGAGCCAGACGTGACATTCCACCAGTCTACGCCTTCAGGGACTGAGCCGCCATGACCAGAGGACCCGGACTCCAGGACCTCTGAAGTACCCTGCGCTGGTGACCCTTGACTTGCATATCCGGAGACGACTTCCCAAGACTGCCAACCTAGGCGCTGTATACTGCCAGGACCAGGCGTTGGTTGGTATAGCACGAAGATGAACGTGAGCAGGCAGGAAAAGGCAATCACAGAGGCAGTCGGCACGAAGATGGAGCGAATGAAGCGAGCCAGGCGGAAGAGGGAAAACTTAGCCATCGTCAGCAAAGCGCATGAGAGGCCCCTCGTCGTCTTTCACGCTGTCGTCGTCGTCCTGGTCGTCGTATGAGGCAGAGAGCGGTGAGGAAGCAAGCTGCCAGAGCTGTCGCCACCGTGCCTGCCACGGCCCGGGTAGGCGCTATTGATAGTAACCCTAACCATGCACTACACCGCAGGCAGTAGAAAAGCATGCGCAACAGAAGGCGCGAAAGGTGTATCTCTCGGAGGTAGCCACACAGGAGGATTGACGATAATATATGAAACCGTAGACGTAGCGGTCGCCGCTATCGTGACGACATTGACAAATGTCATACATATGGCTCACAGGGCAGGCGTCCCAAGTGATCGTGAGCGCGCCATCGACGCGATGAAAGGAAGGCAGTCGGCATTCGAGAGAGCGGCATGCATTCTGGGCAATACTGCGGTCCATATCCGGCGCACTGTAAGCCATACCAGGAGGGGTCACGGACAGCTCACGGCATCACCTCCGAATCGTCGTCATCTTCGTCATCCAGAGGAATGAACCTCTTGCCTTCCGTGCGCTTGAGGTACTGTTCGACGTGAACATCTTATATCCATACAGTGATGCTCACCTGAGGGTCCTCCGCAAGCAACGCGCGGCGATCCTTGAGGCTCATCGGCTTGTCGATGCTTGGTGGTGGCATGCATAGCGCGTGAGCTCCGTCTGCGACGGTGGTGCTGGCCAGCGTCGGAGTTATGGGAAGAGCAGCAACCGAGTCCCCACATCCTGGCGCAGCTTCAGGGGTTCGCAACGTCCGGGAGCGACGTTTCGAGGGAACGAGGCTTTCATGCTTCATATGTGAGGACAACGCCGGATCTCGGGAGGCGGGACTAGCAGAAGCGAAATAGTTCATGTTGGCGACGGGTTGTTGCTGGGGGCCAGGCGGGGGCCGCTTAGACACTGTACGCGACTGGGGAGCGCGTCGGACAGAGGATACCACTGAGCGCAACCCTCCAGCCGAGCAAGGAGTTCCAGCAGCAGTGCGTGTCGGTGAGAGCAGAGGGTGAGCGAGAGACTGACCACTGTGTGTGTGACTTGTATGGTCAGGGGTGCAAGAGACACCGAGGACATCAGTGAGAGTCCGAGACTGAAGTGAGCCCCTGCCAGAGAGAGCGCCGGCGTGAAGACGGGTGGAGACACTGCGAAGAGGCACGGCAGGGGTGGTTATATGCGACTGAAATCCGGGACGATCAGTGAGGGGTGTCCGACTTGGCGTCTGGGAGGAAAGGCGAGAGACGAGAGTTGAAAGCGGTATTGCACTGGCCTGCGGATTTGTTGAGTCCCGGCCGACCGAGGAGTGATCGAGAAATATAGCAGCTCTAGGCAGAGAGTACCCAGAAAAACCCAAGGATGTGTCCAGTGTAGCGCCCTCTGAGATGTCACCGACAGCTTCCAGGCGACGCTTTTTGCGTGGCAGGTGAGTAGACGCAGGATTTCCAGACTCGCACGGGCTCGAAGAGTTGTCATGAGAGCGCCCGGAAAGCTGTAGAGCATATCCATGATTGCGAGCCCTGCTGGAGACGGAGTCCTTTTGCAAAAGCTCTTTTTGCAGGTTCGATAGAGCGTCCTTCACGCGGTCGCGCGCATTCTCGATGTGCAGGGGCATCGCCTGAATGAGGGGCAAAAGCGGTGTGAGAGCTGCCAACAGATGTCCTTGTTGATCCTGGATGGTCTGCAATAGCTGTGACTGCGTCTGGTTGTGCTGGGAAGGGAGTCAGTAGTAGGTATAGACATTCTGGAAGTGCATGCTACCAGCCGACACACCATGCTGAGGGCGTCAATCTTCTTGTCCAGTGTATCGATTCTTATGGAGATATGAGACAAGTCCTTGGAGACTTCACGGATCTCCACGCGTTGCGCAGGACTGCCGACGGTCTTTTGCATTTCCGTCTGGCATCGATTCACTGCAGAAAGAGAGAATGGTCAACACAGCATCTGCGATAATTGGATGTATGCGCCATGAGAGCGTACCCAGTCCAGTAATGCTCTCCAAAACCTGTTCACGGTCATCCTGGTATAACTTCTGCACCATGACTAGCTCGCGCTTTGCATCGTCCAGTTCATTCGTGAGCTGAGTAACCCGCTCTGTGAACTTCTCCAGGTGTGCCTGTGTGTCGTGCAGTAGTACCCTAGTAGATGCACTGGTCTTATCTATGGGAGCAATAGGGGGTGTATGCTTGCCAAAGGTGCTCGTGCTCGTCCCGCTGGACGGCGGAATCTGGGAGGATCCGGCCTTGCGCAGGAGGTGGCCCCAGAGAGCCGTCGATACTGTCGGACGTCGTGGCGCACCAATATGCGGCATAGTCTGAGACTGTGCGTCCATGTTGGCGGCTGTCCTTGAAGTGCGATGTGCAGGAGTCTCGTAGATGGTCGTAGTGGCGAGCGATAAACGTTCGATAAACGGCCATAGCGCGACCCCGGCCTGAGTGCGGTTCGAGGTTAATGAATGCTCAATTTGCGTCATTAATCCTGAACTGTATATGGTGTTCCATTCAACATCTCTCTGTTAGTATATCGGTTAGTACACGCGCCTGTCATTCTAATGACCGCGCGAAAGCGGGGTTCGACTCCCCGACAGAGAGTGTTTGTTTTTCCCAAAATCTTTTTGCAACGCGGATTCTGCTAACACAACTCCCCGACAACGAGGTTACCTGCGATGTTGTACAATGATTGTTACCTGCCTATAGTACACGAGCACGAAACGGTCACGCCTTGCTGCCTGCTGATTCTGCGGTCTGGAGGGTCCAGGACTGTATATCGTCGAGCGGTAGTCGATTCCACTTAGCGAAAGCCTAGACGAATCCGATTTGTTATCCTGGAAATCACGCATGTCGAAGAGAAATACCTCGTCCAAGATATCAAGCAGCTTTGCGGCGTCCGCATCCGCATCTTCTTTAGCTTGCACGTTGCGCTGCATTTGAGATTGCAGTTCAGAGTTTTCAGCGGTGAGCTGGGACACGCGTTGATCAGCGGGCACGCGACAGCCTCGTGTGGTTCCGGTAGGTACCTGAGACAATTCAGTCAGGAGGCGGTCGCGCTCTTTCTGCAGCAAAGGGACTGTTCTGGCCCTGACTGCGGCTCGAGGTTGGAGATCCTCTCTCCACACGTCCTTTCCGTCGTAGCCTGCCTGTTTCCTCGCGCGCGCCGCGGTGACTACTGCATGTAGGTTGTCGAGGTTCTCCTTCACGTTGTATTTCTTGAACAATTCCTCGCAGTTCTCCTACTCACGCGTATGTGAGCGCGAGACGCGTCTAAATAGACGTCATACCCACCGTGATGGATGATTCGAGCCGACTCGAAACGAGATTGAATATTGTGGCCGCGTTCTCCGGCTGCTCATCACACCAAAGTGAGAAACATTCTGCGAAGTCCTCATAGCTGGTTGAGACAAACACCCGTCAGCCACGTTTTGACGCGCCCACAGTTCAGCAATGACTCACGTCCATTTGTGCGCCGACCGCTGTATGGCTAGCTGTAGCGCAGAATGAAAGTACGTCCACCTCTTGCTGCCTGCTTGAGTCGACGCGCTGGACGCCATGTTCAAGGTGCGTTGCGGAGTTTGAACGCGAGCGAGGGCGTTGTGGCGTGGGCGCTTCGATGGGCATAAGCGCTGAGCGCCCATGAATCCCGCATTAGACAAGGGTCGGTTGTTCGCGCCACACGACGCTGTACAATCAGAGCTAAGTGATACGCCGCCAGCGACGCAGGACGTCTTCTTTATGTGGTCTGTTGTGTTCGAGCATGTACTGACAGCTCCTTGCTTTGTCTTCATCGCAGGCATTCAGACTTCCCACCACGGCGTAGTGTGGATGTCAGTGGGTCCCTAGCGGGAGCCGTCTGTACGCCGTTGCCTCGCTGCCAGCAGAGGGTGAAACACAAGGCAAGGGCGGGGTCGAGATTGGAAATGCGTTGCACCCAGCTACGGGACTAACAGCATCCCGAGACCCATCATCGCGGTTCTTTGTGGTATGGTCTCCTCTCAGTTGACGCGGACTGCTGCACCTTATTGCCATGGAAAACCAACTATCCTTATAGGTTTCGTCGACGTATTGCCACGTCGCATTAGTCCGATGTACAGGTTGTCCCACATTGCGAGACTCGTTTCAAGCCTCGCGCATGCAAGGGCGATGTCTTTTTTGCCGAGTTGGCGGCGTTTTAGTATGGTGCTCGGCTCTTTCGGGAAGGCGGGACCTGTCGCAGGGATACCGAGCCAGGAAGTCCTTCCCAGGCCTACTGGCACCTCTTCCAGGTCTGTCGTCTTCAGTGCTCCTCCCACCATATTACCATCTCCAGTGAGGACGACCACGCCACTTGCACAAAGACAGGCGAGTGTCTTTGGCGAACTCAGTACTGCAGGTATGTCCACCTCTGAGGCGGTACATCTCATGCGGCTGGCACAGCCTGCAGACCCCAATTGACCCATTATTTTCTGGCAGTTTTGTCTGTTTAGGCAGGAGCGACTAGACACGCGGGTGTTTGCTTGTTTCCTCCTGTGTCGAGCACTGTCCTACAACCACCCACGTATGTCCTCGATACAATTGCGGCATGATCTGCGAAGGTGACTGGCCCCTTCAGAGATATATAATGTCCATGCAACCCCGACCACATCCCCAGCTCGCTTCTACCCCCACCCACCAATCTTCGTCTTGTTGAGGTGCAGTAACATGTTTCCACCTCGTCCCTTATGCCGCTCACACCGTTCTCCTATGAAGATGCCGATCAAAGTCAATGCGCTGGCGCCAGTCAACCCACCGGAGATCGGCGTGGCGGCCTCGCGCCCTGCTAGCACCGACGTACGTATCCATACTTCGGTTGACCAGAAGCTCCTTCATCTCACCGCGTACTTGCTAGCCTTCCTCAGGACACCCTTTGCGTGTACCTCGCGCCAAGTCTCCCCCAGAAGACGACGTCGCAGAAGAGGACCGACATGACGGGAGCACCGTAGTTGACGGCAGCGACATTGGCCATCTGCCGCCACAGCCTTCCTGTCATAGGAGCGCGAACATTGTGCGCTTGGTTCCTACAAACGGCTTCTCCCGCTCATCTCCACTGCGGATGGAGTGTGTCCTCCGTGGTTCTGGTGAGTTTCAACTCTTCGGTCCCTGGGACGCAGAAGACGACGGCGAGGCCCACGGCCTCCACGCTTCCATGGACGAGATACTCTGGAAGTATAGTGGCCAAATCGTATCCCTTTCCCTCGATGCCTCGTCTCTTCCCAGTCCCAAGTCGGAGCAAGTGATGGTACAACCCTTTGAGCTCCCCTTTTCCTCGTGGGTTGTGGCGTCCCAGGGCCACCCCAGCGGCTTTCCGGGCTCGATGCATCTCTTCCCCGAATTGACAGAGCTCACCATCACTACCAACCGCAAGATCTCTCACAGGTCGTTGTTGACACTCTTGCATGCCACACCTATGCTGCGCACACTCTCCGTGCGAAACAGCGTCCTCTATCAGCACGTCATGCCCGAGGACAATGTAGACCTTCCCAAAGTCAATCTGCCCTATCTCCAGAACGTGCTGCTGAAGGGCTTCTTCGCCGGAGCAGTTGACGAGGTCCTGTCCATGCTGACGCTCAATGGAACTACCCGAGTCGAGGTGTACCTCAGCCCCGCCTTTCCCTCTCAGACCATCGGAGCGCTGCGCTCTTTCCTCGCAGCAATTCGTCACGCCCGCCTCTCCTACACTGCATTGCGGCGATGCGGGGACGCCGGTGCGGATCGGTATCTGTTCACGTTCTCTGACGTGGACTCGCGGATCCAGGTACATTGGGATTGGGAGGCCTCAGCGGGCGATCCTGCCAGCCTGTTCCACGTCACCCTCGATGCCGGTGCTGCACTCGCCAAGGTGCGGCAGCTGACGATCTCCCTCCGAGGCGTCGCACCCAGCTTCCTCGACTGGGTCACGGTGCTGAAGCCGTTCCCGTCTCTTCGGCATGTGGACCTACATGTCACACCGCCTGACCCGCTGGGCCCAATCGCCTGCGGCGGGTCTCGCACAGCCACGTTCCTGGTCAGGGCCGCCCCACTGCTGAAGAAGGTCGCAGACGTCCCGCTTATGTTCGCGCTCGGCCTCGCGTAGCACTTTGGCTCTCGGGAGGCGTTCTCCGGAGGCACGCCATTGATTTTCCGCTCTTCGCTTAAGAGGAAGCTCTACTCTCGCGCTTGGAAGCACATGGTGCGCAAGTCCATCTGGTGAGAAGCAGGACATGCGATGGTATGTTTGACACCTGCAGGTGACCTTTTAACTCGTGGCGCGATGCGCATGTTGACTACGTACGTTATGGCGCCGACTCTATCTGTATTCCATCACCCCCATACTCTCACAACGCCGTATGCCTTGCTTCCGGATACTGGCATACCTCGTGCTCACTATTCCTATGCACTATTCGTACACTAGTTTTGAGTATATGCCCGTCAACCGTGTTTAACCGTCTGGTATACATCGCAGGTATAATATGAATATGTGCCAATGCTTATACACACTCACGTACATACGCAATCGTCCGTAGCCAGGTGGCGTCAATGCGCAACCCCTACGTGGCCTATTCCTGCTCACATGTAGACAATACCTGCTGTCCTGGCTTCCGAGCTGTACAGGGCACAGGATAGGGTATAAATACGTGACATACAAGACGTACAATGCGATGGTAACAGTCTACAACATCATCACTAGGGAATCGTCCCAACAACATACACAAGCCGCAATTCTGAGCTATCCACTCACATGTCCTCGTCTTCGTCGCTCTCGGCCGTCCACATCTCCGAGTCGGTGTTGTCGTACTCGTTCTCAACCTCGTACTGAGGTACAAGCTTATGCGCGACCCACGTCCCGTCCAGCGCGTCGTGGATCATGCGCCACCTCTCAGGCCGGTCGAACATGTCGGCCAAGATCCAGTCCATGTACTCCTCGCCGGTCTCGTCGTCGGGATGCAGCTCGATGTTCCATCCCAGGTAGACGACGTTGTCGTCCTCCACGACCGCGGTGAGGCCGAGATCGTGCGAGTAGTTCATCGAGAACAGCTCGATCATCTGGAGAGTCGCCCCGCGACGGAGCATCTTGAGCTCTTCCGAGTCTGCGTCTAGGTACGGGTACTCGTCGGCAGAAACGTGGGTGGCAGGCGGGGCCCAGCGTGCCGCGACATACGGACCATCGTACCGCTCGTCGTCCTCGCCCGTGCCGTACCCATCGAAGGACCAGTAGTCATCGTCATCCTCATAGTCTTCACCGTCTTCTGCATCCTCGTCCTCATCGTCTTCCTCATCGTCATCGTCATCTTCGTCCGTGCTCCAGTAATTCTCGAAGTCAGTGGGTTCGCGAAAGATGCCCGCCCAGGGGTCTTCGTCGTCCGGAGGAGGGGATGGGCGTACAGCACCGTTGGGCGCTTTAGCCTTGTCCACGGCGGACGCCAGCGATTTCACAAGGTATAGGGGTATCGGGCGGCTACGAACGATGGTGCGGCAGCACGGACAAGTCTTCTTCCGATAGAGCAAGGCATCCGGATACTCATCGTCGAGCATCTCGTCATCTCCGGGAGGTGCCGCCTTGAACCATTCCAACAGACAGCCCATGCAAAGCACATGTCCGC